AGGCGGCGGGGCCCTCAGCCCGGCGGCCCTCCGATGCGGGCGTGACGTGCGCCAGCATAAGCAGCACCCGCAGAGCCTTGGCAGTCGGCGCGTTGGGTTTTCTGCTTGTAGGATTCTTATTTCAGTTCTGTTGGAAGGTTATTAATCAAGTTGTGTTAATAAAGTGATTCATTCAGTTGTGCCCACCTTTAAAAACAAAGGTGTAATAGGGGGGAACAAACTACCCTTGTGCAATGAAATCTGCTGTATCCCTTGCTGTATCCTGGGCCTTAGGATAAAAGTATTACGCTTTGCACTTTTGCAGTACAAGTTGTGGTGAAGCTGTGTTTTCTGCCAAGAATCTCTTTTTCCTTCTGGTGGTGGTTTGTGTGCTTATATGAAGTATTAAAAGTTAAGGAGGTGACAATGCAGTCTGTTTTGTTAATCTTTCAGGAGGACTGAAGATATGCAGCTGAGATGACTCTTCAGGAACTGGTGAATCGGGCAGCAAGCCTGTACTCTGATAGAAAAGCAGTTTGGTTTGATGAATGCAATGACAAACCTCCAACTTTCTACACCTATGCGACAGTGGTTAAACTGGCCGTGGAATTAACAGATTTCCTTCAAAAGCACTGTGAGCAGCAAGGAAACCTTGAAATAGGCCTTTACTGCTATCCAGGAATAGACCTGCCGTCTTGGATCTTAGGGTAATGGTTTGAATGTTTGCATTCTTTGTTGTTTTTTTCAAGGGTCATCTCTATTAAAGCAAATTTTCAGTTTGTTTATATTTCTAGTAACAAAAATGCAGTAACACCGTAGTAATGAAGTCAAGAGGTACTGGATTCTTACATTCTTAAAGAAAAAAGATGGCAGCGTTATAATTTTTTGAAAAGCCACAGCTAAAGTTCTTTTGAATCTTAAGTTCATTGGTCTGAAGTGCGTGTAACTATATTTTTGTTTTAAAGTGTATGATTAAGCATATTTATAGAAACAAAAAATTAATGACTAGGATTTTTGTTATGTGTTTTTAAAAATTAAGGTGATCTAACAGAATAAAATGAGTATGCAGGTTTTTTAATGTATTGTCTTGCTAGCAAAAAAAAAATGCACTGGAAACCAATTTTATGCTTTAAGCTAATTGAGTGTACAATTATAGTTCCATTACAAATATTGTAGAAAAAAAGTAATGAGCAATGCAGCACTAAAGTGACATTGATTATTTAATGGCTAGGAAACGGAAATGTTTGTGATCTCAACACATGTTAATTCAGCAATTTGAAAAAATCGTGCTTCTGCTGCTGAATTCTAATGTTTGTATTCTTGATAGATATATCTTATATATCCATTGCATTTATGATGTAAGATAGAATCCCAGCATCACAAGTTTATTTCCTTCAGCAGATGTATACAGCAGCGGTTGCGCTTCTTGGGGGGATGGTCTGTGTCAGTATTTTCCTGTTGTCACAGTACACCTAAAATACACAATAGTGTAAGAAGATGTATCACATTTGACTGTAAAGATTTCAATGAAGTGCGTGAGCAAGTGCTGTAATCATAAACGTTCCAGAAATGCTGAGGGACTTTCTCACTGATCAGGAAACACTCTTCCCTCAGTCCAGCAGTAGAGCAAGTTGCCAACAGACGTGCAGGCACCATCCCTGGAGGTTTTCAAGACCTGACAGGTTAAAGTCCTGAACAACCTGGCCTGGTGTCACAGCTGGCTCCGCTTGAGCGGGCAGTTGAACTAGGCATCCTGATGTAACCTGTATCTCAGCGAACTGAGCAGCAGCAGAGTTTTCTTTTGCTGTGTGACTGGGACTACTGGGGCATTTTGATTCTTAACTCCTCAGCAATGATAGATGTTAACTGCTATGTATGATGCAGGGCAAGCTTAGGTGCTTGCTGATACCAGGGGCTATTCAACACTACACAGAATGCTGTGGTTTCCAAGTCTTTGTTCTGGATTTTCCCATCACTGCAGTGATAAATGACTTGCACAAAGAGAAAATATAACTAATTGTATGAGAACCTAGCCTTAGAAGAAATGTGAAGGTTTATGGGAACCATTCCTGTTTTAGTCGCCACTTGGCTTTCTGTGGCGTTTGTAAATTAAAGTGCTTGTCTTTATCAAACGGAGCCACTAGAGGGGGGGATTGTAGCGAGCAACTGTTGAGGAAGCATTACAATGTAAAGCGCAGGGAATGAGAGCAGAATATACTTCGCGTTACTCAGCTTGTTTATTAGGGAAGAAATTCCAGTACGTGCTCAGGTTTTCTTATGCTGGATTCTTTAGACTAGTGAGAATGGGAACTGTTTTCAGTGCGTAGACTTTTGATGGTTTTTTAAATGTGTTTATATGTGTTGCATATGTTGCATATTAAAAGCTTATATTTCTGTTACTAGCCAAGAGCAGAAGCTTTTAAAATGTCGTGCTGTTGATGTCAGTAATACCTTTGTCATCACCAAACTGCTTGACCAGAAATAGTGTTGAATGTTTTCATCTGGTTTTAATCTTTTTCCTTTCTGTAAAATACCAAAAGGCAACACCGATTATTCTTCCTACTTTATTTCCAACAAAATCTTTAAATGTCATGTTATGACTACATTTTCTATTTCTGAGAACTATAAAAGTATAAAAGAAACATCAGTGAAATTTAAGATTATATTCTTAATTTATTTAAAAATAAGTTTAAAACATTTGTGTCTTGTTAGAATCCTTCAAGTTCCAGCTGCTTATTCTCCTATTGATCCAGATGCACCACCAATGTTATCCGCTTACTTTATGAAGAAAAGCAATCTTCAGCATATTCTTGTTGAGAATGACAAAATAAATGTAAGTGTTCAGGCTTCTACAGTAAGCATTAAAGGGCAATTTAGAACTGTAGCTATTCAAATTGTATTCTGTTTTAATAAGCTTGGATGAGGTTGTTTTATTTCTTTGTGTCAAGAGGTTGCCTTTCTCATTCAGAAAAGAACATCTTTAAAATTAGCATTAGAAACTGCTGCTTCTCCTCTTCAAAAAAATTGCCTACTTTCCTGTAGCAATGTTGTCCAGGCAAGGTTGTTGAGCACTGGTGTTGGAAGACTTTTCCAGACTTGTGTCTCCATATGTCAAGGTTGAGACATGGAAATCTTTACAATAGTTGAAAAAAACCTCCTGCATTCAATTATTTGGTTTCTTTTTGTCCAGCTTCTCCCAAATCTTATACCCTCACTCATTGCAAAGGAAATAGACAAGGTGGACCACCTAGTTATAATTCAGAGTTCTTTGTTTTCTGTAGAATTCTTTTGCATATTTTCCCTTTCTTTTCATTATTTGCTTGGAGAATTTATTTTGCATTTATAAAGGCTGTGTTCACTCATTTAATATATAAAAATACATGAGTTTAAACCTGTCTGATTTATGTCCTTCAAAGTAGAGGCATGAAAAGTCACAGCTTATTTGTATGAAATGCTGTTTCCTATTTCATTGCATACTGGAGAACAATAACTGTGTGCCCTGAGTTCTGCTATTTAAATTGTTTCTTTTCTCTTACAGAAATTCCAGATGTCCCATGCTGGGTTTTTTTGCCACAATTCTTCAACAATAGAACATATTGGTTTAACTCTCTTCCAAATGAATGTGAGCAACACTGATTTAAATTCACAAGTAGACAACATGAAAAGTAAATACGAGCCTTTCAAAGCAGCTACAGGTAACTTGCAGCCAGGATATACCATTTGCCCAGATCAAACCAAAGCCAAAACATCAGAAGGAGGCTACATGGACGTTGGCCGGAAAGACTCTTTAGCATACATCTTGCATACATCAGGAACTACAGGGATCCCCAAGATAGTCAGAGTACCTCATAAATGTATAGTGCCAAATATTCAGCATCTGAAGTAAGTGTAGTTTCCAGTTTTCCTTTTAAATGCTCAAATTTGATATTTAAGGACTCTTTTAATACTTCAGAGGAGTGTGGATTGGGCTTTTGGTAACACTGCTTTGCTTCCTTCTTCCCCGCCTTTTCAGATTTATTTTTGTTTGGTTTCTTTGTTTCTAAATAGTATGATATAAATTTTTGTTTCTCCAATGTAATTTTTTATGTTTAAATGGTGCTTTACCTGAATTTTTGAGGGGTGTACTTCAAGTAATATGATGTTGCTGTAAATATTATATTCTGGCTTGTGGTGTTAAAAGAAATAGATAACAAAACTAATTATTTGTTCACTGTTATATTTACTGTGTTCTGTAGCTTTAAAGTCCTAATTCCTTTTTAGGCTACCTAAGTTTGTTTCTGCTTCATTTAATACTTTCTAAAAAATCTATTATTTGTCTGTCCTGCATATGGCTACATTTTCAGAGCAGCCCTTAAGACCTTAGCTTTGCTAAAGCATCTTTCATGCTGCTCTTCTAGTTTGAAAATGGTTCTTAACAACATGCATCAGTTTTGTAATCCTAGCTTTCTTACTTTAGATCCATATTTCAGATCACACAGGATGATATGCTATTCCTGGCTTCTCCTCTAACATTTGACCCATCTGTGGTTGAATTGTTCCTTGCGCTGTCAAGTGGAGCCTCTATTCTTGTAGTACCAAACACTATTAAAATGATGCCTGTGGAGCTGTCTGCTGCTCTATTTCGCCATCACCACGTGACAGTGCTGCAGGTAGGCAACACCTAAGATAAATGTCTCCAGTGTCTTGCTTTTCACCCTTGCTGATGTGTACTACTTGTTCATCAGTCTAGATGCTAATGATAATAGAACAGGAGTGTTCTTCCTTGAAGAACTATGCAGTCCTTTCTGCTTTAGAGT